GAGAGACAGGTGAAATAGGTATCCATCCACTGAAACAAACTCAACTAAACATTCTCGTTTGGTAGGGTTAAGCATGTTGTTTCTACTGCAATGACATGGTTTGTGAGTTCTGTTCAAATAAAGTAATTGCATACTTGAAATGACATTGTGGTTCACGTTTCAGTTCATGTTGGATAACCTCGTCGGCTTAAAAAAGAAAAGTTGCGTCATGGTAGATTCGCGTAAAGAACTTCTTTCTTTGCTATTGGCACAGTTGACTGTTTTACACTTAGGAGTTGCTGCAGTTGAAAGTATTAGATCGTTTTCTGGTTCTCGGTTCTAATACCCTAAAACAGTTAAAGAATTCGATCGATTGTCCAGCACATTATCATCGTATTTATTTATTTGAGCACATTTTCTTTGGACCTCCTGTAAAATGTAGATTCTCTGCTCCTCACATTGCTGCAGTTGGTGTAGTAACTATTTTACAAAATGGTACCTATCGCTTTGTTTCAATGCACACTTATGAGGCCAACACCGTGAAGCGTTTCAGATGAACAGTGCTTTGGGACGCAAAATAAAGCGACGCACCAACGATGCAAAGAGGGGGTCCCAACGCCAGAGCCAGGGTTCTTCGGGGTACGCGTCGCGGTCACGACTGTGGTCGACTCGGAATTCACTGCACTACCCTCCTCTCTACCATGCAGTAGTGCTGGCCGTTCTTGTCACCCTCCTGAGTTGATCGTTTTTGTTGAATGATTGTATCACCGTTATCTCGTCTCGTTATTGTGTGTTGCACTCATTCTTTGCTTAGCTGGTCTACGGTGCGTGGATAGTAGTGGCGGGTATCTTCAACTGTGTTCTGTTTGCAACGCCATCGGTAGCATATCAACCATTCGTCCCACAATGTACGGCATACGTGTCAGGCCGCTGGCCAGGCTACTTATGCTGTGTAGCTGTAATGTCGCGATAGTCGGCTTATCAGTTCTCAATCGCTTTATTTCTGTCCCAAGTTATCCTTGCGTCAATGGTTGCACCCATCGATGCCAAACTTCACGCTGCAGACATGGCGTTATCCAAGGCTACCCGCCTGGCACTGTTCCTCAGATGAACCATTAGTGGTGTCATCGTGCATCAGCCTTAGTAAATAGTTGTTGATTGCTTCCTCCTCGTCTTATTGCTCATATAATCCATTGATCTGGTATAACCATGATCCTTAAGACTTGGCGGCAACGGCCAAGGTCAGTCGTATTTGCTCCCTCTGCCCGTCTGCGCCCGGCGCACTATCGTGTCAACTTTGTCCATCTGCACTCAGCGCACCATCTCTCTCACCCACCGCACCGGCCATTGATGGTGTGGGCGAGGATTACCCATGGGTGTCCAGTCGTTGTACTGTGATGCAGTTATTATTGCAAATAGCCTTTTATTTACATTATAATAGTATTCTGGTGCCATTGTCATTTACTAGTCTCACTTTGGTAGCCGTTGCGTCTCATATCCTGTGATTTGCGTTATTCCTTTCTCGTGCTTTGCTATTGTTGTTATTATGTTATTGTCGTATTAATAATGTTGTTGTTATGTATAATGGTTTAACTTCCCAAGTTTGAGGCCTGTCAATCAACACAAATCAGGGAGACCCGCGTGCCGGTGGTACACACACATGTGAACATCCAGGCGTCTCCACTATAATTCTGGTGCATTGATTTTCTAAAGATTCGCTAGTACTACTATAACTACTGCAATCGTTGCTTCACTCCTGTGTTCTGGAATATTCAAGCACTGCCGGCACTCATTAGGGTTTTGCACATTGGTAACAGTTGTCTGGAATAGTAAAAAGAGCTCACTTGGTACACCTGTTGTCTCCACTGCAATTCTGGTACATTGACTTTCTAAAGATTCGCTAGCACTACTACAACTACTGCAGCTGTTGGTTCATTCCCGTGCTCTGGGCTATTTAAGCACGGTCTGCATGCATCAGGGTTCTGCAAATTGGGAACAACCTTGGTACTCCACCATTACCCTATTTTCGTAATGCTCCAAACACTGGTCTTTATTGCCGGGGAGGGATGCTAATGCCTACAAGCAAACCAGATTGCTATTTTCACCCGCTGCTGAACTGAATCGTGCAGGTAGTGGAACTCACGTAACTACCGCTGAAGCTTACCCATTTAACAATAACCTACACGAGTATGGTAGTCATTTTATGACAGTTCATCCTTACTTGTTCCCATGCAGAACAGAGAATCCTACTGAATGGTACAGTTAATCTGTAGGCGGTTTGCTCCCTGTTGTCTCTGGTTTTTAAGTCAGAGATTATCGTAGTAGTTATCAGGTTCCCTAATTATTTAATCAACCAGTGCCAGAACCGCAAATGTTTTCACAGGAAAATAATGCACCAGAGAGGAAGCTCCTTACGAAATTAATTTTTCTCCTTATATTATGAAGTTTTTTGTGGCCAGTCTGGAGTAGTAAAAAGAGCTTACTTGGCATATCTGTAGGCCACCGCAACTTGCTGTAGAAGTCAAATATGTGTTCAAGCACCAGAACTTTACAAGTGAAGAAGAATTCATAGCGCACTCTTAAGAAATAGGTTAACGCCGGTCAATCTGTTTTTTTTGTCAACCAAAGCTGGGGAATCCCAGATAGGTCTTCAGTCTTTGGGATTGCATATGTTTCTGACGAAAAAATCGTTTAGATGCAAACACATCTAACATTCAACGGTATTTTTTTCAACACCGTTACCCATCTTCGTTTTTCTTCATTCACGACACATTCTACATTGAATGTGAACCAAAAGTATGGCAAGATGTTAAAAAGTAAGGTTTATGATTAAAACCTTGTAGATTTTACATGTAGGCGACTGTAGAACTACTTGGAAATTCATCCCTGAAGTCAGTTAACAATGCTGTAGTGTTTACTAAGTGCTACAGAGAGATCCGTGTTTGAGCGGAGGAGCGAGGTTTTGGTTAGACAGAAGTAGCTGACATGAATACAAGGAAGTTCGCTTTTAATTTTCGTAATCATCCGTTTCCTCCCAACGGTTTACCGCCTCATCGTGGCTGGGAGGTGTTCCTGGGTGTCGGACTGCGATGTACAGCAGGGGATTCACCACTTGGCAGGGTCTCCCAAGTTGAGAAGGAGTCCGACATTTCCATCAGAAAGCCCAACTAAGAGTAAACCAATACCAGGGCCTACCACCGTCTTGGTATCAAAGTCGCATGGTGGCAAATCTCCCTCTAATCCACAATGGCTTTGACTGCCTGTGGTGGTGGAGACCTAGGACAGACTTTGGTCTGACTGACCTGAGAACTCCAGGGAACCACAACGGCTAGACCAGCAGAACTCCGAAATAATGGAGGTCATGCTCTGGACCGCACAAGTAGTTAGGATGGGCTAACCAAGTATCCTTGTAAGTAAGTATCTCGTTCTTAATATCATGAGGGTTTCTTCTGTTATTCGCAGAAAGGTTCACAAGAGATTATGGTTGAAGAAAAAGGCTTGGTTGTCAGTACATCCGGTGGAAAATTGCGGCAATCAATTGGTGATCTTGTGAGTCAGCTGAGGCATTTACCTATTGAATAGAAGAGCTGCAAAAGATATAGATTTGTGAAACAGACGATGCACAACTACCCAAAGGTACGTTAATGCAGTGTTTTATCTTATCCACTTGTTAGTCTCTTTTTGATTTTTTAGATGAAGATACTAGTGATGGGGCTGAAATCAGACGCACTTAAAGAACGTCATTGGCGTTAAGTGATGAAGGAATTACGAGTGAATTGGAGAAACGTTGAGCTCCCTCTGACTTCATCAAGAAAACGTAGCGAATGTTCGACCTTCTTCATCGATCGCTTTTCATCGCTTTTGATCGCTTCATCGCTTTTGTGAATCATAGAGAGATTTACCACCACGCGGTTAGTTTTATACAAGGACGCTGGTGGATTCTGGTATTGGTTTACTCTTAGCCAGGATTCCTGATGGAAACGTTGGACTCCTTCTCAGCTTGGGAGGCTTTGCCAGGGGACGAATCCTCGGCTGTACATCGCACTCCGACACCCAGGAACACCTCCCAGCCACGATGAAGCGGTAAAGCGTTGTGTGGTTCGTTGTATGTGCCAGTAGGAGTTCAAGTCATAAGTGAAATTTATAGCGATCAATTTGTGGGCAAACATTCGTGGTTCAGTTTATGGCACGGACAACCGCTGATCCGTGCTGCTGTGCTTTATGTTCATTATTTACGTGGAATTTATAGCATTTCCACGAATTGTTTAGCATCGATGAAGAAGGTCGAACATTCGCTACGTTTTCTTGATGAAGTCAGAGGGAGCTCAACGTTTGCTTGATAGAGTTGCAGATATGTTCTCCAAAATTCGGAAGGCTCTTGGTGAATATTTGGAGAAGGAGAGGTTATCTTTTTCGCGGTATGTTTATCAAATGATATCACTTTTAGATTTCGCTAAAAGGGTTTTGTTATTTTTGTCCAAATTCTACTTCGTAGAAGACGAAGATTTATTAGAAATTATGAGTATTAGTAAAGGTATGCCTAGTCTGCAAAAGCATCTCAGAAAAATTTTTGCTTGAGTGACTTCTGTAGATGTTCTAGAAGAAGATGGCGTTGTAAGTATGCATGACAATACTTCATAAAAGGTATAGCAGTTTATTTTCGTGTAGATTACCGCCCTAAAGAGCCGGAAAGGCGAACGAGTTGAACCTGTCCAGTGCCACACTAAAGTTGTTCGCATCAATGATTGACTTAAAGTGCTGGAAGCTGAAATCAAACACATCACTCTGAAATAGAAATGTCTCCAATCATCTGTAATGTTCAAGTTTCTTGTTTTTTCTAGGCTTTTTAGTTTATCCCTTGCACAATTCTCAAATGGATATTAACACTATAAACCCTGGGGAATATATGGAATGGTTGGATAAGTATCTGGCAAGTTTTCCGTAGTTTTCCATCGCTGCCAAAATTGTATTGAAATGTCGCGTGCTCATTTAATAGTATTGACTGCTGAGCTGCTTCCCATTGGCAAATAATGCCACTTTTTTCGTTATTCGTTTTGTTTATTTTAGCTATCAGCGGAAAGTGTTGAACCTAGGAAGCTCGCCAAAGCTGGAGCTGCTGCATTGGAGGTTGTCACTGAGCAGCAAGTAGGTCTTCCTCTCTGGCGGCGATTTGGTGGTATGCAAGGGAATTTCCTGAGTTCATTGTTAAAAATGGAATAAACTGTTAATATCATATCACTTCATGTATTCTAAAAGTGGTTTTTAGGTGCTCATTCAATCCGTCAGTGAGACCCTGGCCTCGACACTTGCAAGCGAGGATGTCGCTCTGCTCCTTCCATTACTATCCAGTGTTGTCCTTTTGGCGCATTATACCCCTAATGAAATGATAGAGTGAGTAGTTTTTTTGTTTTTTGTGATTATTTTTAATACTAGTTAATAATTTATAGTCAATATCGGCTGTCTTCTTTTGTGTGAATTCCTGTTTCTTAGGTTGAGACAACACATTGCTCAAGTATTGACTAACTCAAACTGTCTCACGAGGACGTAAGTGGAGAATAAGGAGCAGCATGGGTTGAGAAAGGTCTTCAACTTTACCATATCACCAATTTAAACTATAGTATAGTGCTTGTTGGTGCAAGTGGCAGTGGAACAACGACAGAATGGAAAGTTCTGATGAAGGAACTAGAGCGCTGCGAGAAGGTGGAAGGTATTGCACATGTCATTGAGGCGAATCGATGAGTAAGGATGCACTGCATGAAGTTTTGGATCCGAACACAAGGAAATAGACTGATGGATTGTTCACTTCTGTTATCAATAGGTAAATGGTCTTATTCTTTCATCTTACTAGTAGGTTACAGATGTTCATATCTCAAATTAAAAAGTGCTTTCTGCTTACATAGCAGAATAAGACATTTTTGTGGCGACTAGTGGTATAGGTAATACCACCACAACTTTAGTCTTTTATAACACTTTAGTTGCGATTAGTTTCTGTTTCTATCTTGTACTTTGTTCTGTGGCCTTACCTTAGATCGTTTCTATTGTTATTAAGATGTGTAATTTCAGAATAGTTGATAATATTTGCGGCGAAATTGAGAAAAGCCAGAGGACTATGTTTGATGGTGATGTTGATTCGGAATTGGTGGAATATTTGAACTTAAAACTTGATGATAATTAACGCCCCGTTTCCAAAAGGAGAACGTCTCGCTATCCCACCTAGCGTAGGTCGCCATCTTCGCATTTGAGCCAGTTATCAGCGGCTCAGCGACTCTACTTTTGTTTTGAACTGATTTGGTTTAATGCGTTCTCAATGCAGATATAGACCATTTTACGAGTTGCTGATCTGAAAAACGTCTCTTGCCACAATTTCTTGTGGTGGCATGGATTGGTTCAGCGGAGAGGTAAGCAACGAGTAGATGCTAATGTCGAACCATTTTTCTTGAATGAACTGTTATCGGGTTGTAGCAACGGACTTCCATTGAAAGCAGTGCGTTAATTGGTGAGGATGCCACTCCAAAAAGATCTGTAGTCATACAGTGGTAAGCTGCTGCAGCTGCTTGATCAAAGTTTTGTCCAGGTCGAAGTTTCTCTTACTTTACTTGCTGCTAGTCTCATGCAGCGCTGAAAGATTGTTTATCTCACTTTAGATAGTATTAAAATACCGCTGTTATTCACTTTTGCTGTCATGGATCTTGATCATATCATGGTTCCCATTCAACAACGTCTAGTGTCGTCTTCTTTTGTAATGATGAACTACACACTTTATAGCATCATTAATCACGATGCTAATAAAGATTATTTTCCGTTATCGGTGAGTACTTGAGCCATTTTTCAACGTTCATTCTCAATTCGACCGGTTTTATTTGGAGCATTACAACGCGATTTCCACCACTCGTTTAAAGGACATCTAGCCATATCAGATTTGTGCGTTCAATGGTGATCGTAAATGGAAATGATCGCCAACGTTTGATCGATTCCATTCGTAGTTCCACAATCCCTTTGTCACCTTCAAGTCAACAGGTGAATGGACATGCAGATTCTTTCACTCTGAATTAGGTCATTGTTTAGTAGGTGGTTGTAACATATACCGCCCAATGTCTCGCTCTTCTATATTTCCATGACACGCTTCGAAGTTTTTGGTAATATAGTTTTCTAACCCTCATTGGAATCGGTGGTGTTGTAAACATTTTTATAATGAAGTCACATAGCTGTGTAATGAAGAAAAAGCATGTTACTCGTTTAGGCTCCATTGATGGACTTCGGGGTACAACTCATTTTGCGTAGCAACCGTAGTTCAACCATAGGCCAGTTATAGAACTTGAGTGTGTGTTTCACGCTTTACGTAACCATTTTATCGGTCAAATTATATTGTAGATTCGACTGCTGAAAATTAAGTTTGCTTATGTTTGTACATTACTAAATTCTAACTAAGAACGTGATTTCCAGTCTGAATTTACACCTGATGTGTGCTCTCGCGTAACATTTCTTAACTTTTGGGTAACTTCATCAAGTCTTGCAAGCCATTGACTCAATCGCGGCAAATTTGTTCCAGGTATGAGTTCTATCCTTTCATGTAAATCAGAGATATAAATTTGCTTAGGGTATGTTGCTTTAAATCTTTTGCGCATTTGCTTCGGGAAGATTAGTTAGTATCGATATTTATGGTAGGCAGGAAGAAAGCTGCAAAATGAGGAACGAACTTTCTCACCATTGATTACCTAATGGGGGATGAAATTAACGAGAATAATAAATCCATGTTGATATAATGAAAGAAACAATAAGTTAATGATTTTGGCAACACCACAGTTCTGTCGCAGCTTACTTAGGTCTATTAATTTTTCGTCTTCTGAGGTTTTCATCATGTTTGTCTGCACATTGCCTTTTGTTAGGGAGTTCCAGACTGGATTCCATCGAGTCTCGCATGGCATGTTGCTTGTAGACGAAATGCTGTTTACCCATTCTGTTTCTGTGAATTCCCGAGGTCAGCATAGCCAAAGTCTGCTCCAGGTCGTCACCACCACAGGCAGTTGCAGCTATTGTGGATCAAAGGGAGATTTGCCATCATGTGACTTTGATACCATGGCGGTGGATTCTGGTATTCGTTTACTTTTAGCTAAGCCTCGTGATGGAAACACCGGACTCTTTTTCAGCATGGTAGACCCTACCAGGGGAATAAATACCTCTGCTGTACATCGCAGCCCGACACCTAGGAACACCTCACAGCCACGATAATGCGGCAGACCGTTAGGAGGGTTCTTGGTTTAGGCAGCCTATAATCATAGTTATATGAAAAGTGAAGATAAAGTCATGTAAACTAGTAGAGAAGATCGCGGTTATAGATTCGATCCTACACCGGGTACGTGAAGCCGACTTATTCGAAATTCACTGACATTAAGCTTATGCGCAAACATAATATTCAGTGTGTCCTACAACAAGTAAATAGTCCACTTGCTTTAGTGCTGCTTTTAATCTTTCTTCTTCAAATTAGCCAGATTGAAGGAAAATGATGTTTTTCGACTTCATATATACATGTGTGTTACACATGCAGTGACACAGATATGACTAATGTGCAGTATAGGTGTTCGGTGGCTTTGCTTGTTGCTGTTTTCGCTGCTTTCAGGTGTTTAATGAAACTGTATCTTGAACGCACAATTTCCATATTTTATCCGTTTTTTCGTGTCAATATCACTAAAGTTGCCATTTCTGAGAAGCAACAGATCTTCTGTTCGTCTGTTGTTCTTCTTATTTTGTCAATACTTAACAGCGATTTATGAAGGTAAATGCTGCTTAATATATTAGGCTTCCATTTCATTCCTCTTTCTCTCATATGGTCTGCTATTCTTCTTCATCCTCTATATTCTCATTTATTGTGATTTCTTACTTTATAGTTCATACTACGCGACCTTCACACCATAATGGTATGGCACCCAGTAAGGTGATGTTGCGACACATTTACTATCGTATGCGATACTACACTCCCAGTTCTGTTGTGCATTCAAAATTGTTTTATGCCTTGTTTGCAGTCGGAATAATATTGTTGTGCAGCCATATTTGTTTCAGAAACTGATTAACATTCTATGATAATCCTTCTTTCTTCGTTTCTTCCTCTTTCGTTCTTTATTTCTTCTTTCTTTCTCTCTATCTTTCTTTCATTCCTATTATTTCTTTATTCTTCATCCTTTCTTTCTCCTTCTTGCTTTCCTTCGCCTTCTCTTTTTCTTTATCATTCTTTCCTTCTCCTTTTTTGCAATGGTTGTATATTGTGTGCAAATAGTGCAAATAATAGTAATTATGAATTATTTAATGCGAATCACATGCAGTATAGAATGTTGCTTTTAGAAATTCTGGGTTTTCACAATCGTAAAGAGTGCAAGTTGTAGGTGTTTGTCGTTGTAAAGGTGTAAAGATTCCAATTGCTATGCGAGAAGTGCTCATTGTAAAAGTTTTTTTTAAACATAAATCTTTTTAATTCCACCTTTATGGGAGAATCTGGTACGGTTCAACAAGTGGAAGGTGTATTCTTTGAATAACTTGTATGTTCATATAGGTGTTTGCCTGCGTATGTTTGCCGGCTTTCATTTCGTCTCAACATGAACTGGCTACCATATATTGCTCTACACGTGAGCTTACTCAAAGTGGTTGGCTATGTGTATTCGAAGTAGGTTTTTATCCGCCCATATCATTATTGCGCAAAACAACTGCGAGAATGTTGTGTGCGCTCGCCGGTCTGCAAATGCAAATAGCTTGCGTAACATAGCAGAATTCAATCAACATTACGATAAAAAGATAAATGATGAAGCTGTCGGCGTTGATGAATGCCTGAGGAACGCACCATGCATTCGACTTCACTGAGCATCGTTGGAGGTGATTGAATTCATATCTGGCGTTTACAATGTTTCCTGGTGGCCTACCGATGTATTGAGCCAGTGCTGCTAGTTTCCTATACAAGTCCGGTACCAATTTGCCGACCCCGAGGGATGGAAGGCTTGGTGAGCCACGTAGACGGGGATCGATGCCATGTGTGTATTGCAGGGCGCCTCCGACCACTGCTCTACACGCGCCACTTCGACATTAGAACTGTGTATTAATCTATGCAAAGAGAATTTTTGTAATAAGCCACTATGTTAAGTATTCAGCCTTCAAATTGCAGAAGGAACAGCTTCACATCTTTAAAGGTGGCCCAGACTTTAAAGTGGAACATTTGGCAGTCATTGTTAAATGCTACCTAATGCCCAGTGGTCGCCATCATGTGATGCGGCAACAATATGAACTTCGGGTTGCAATTATCAATAAATAAGTAGGGAAGGAGAACGGAGGCCTGTTCGGCCTTAGCGGGTTTTCGACTAGTCTTCGAAAAACTTTCGTCACTAAACAGCGGCATCATCCACAGTTGAGCAGAGGCGGAGGATTTGTACGGAGCATTAACGAAATGGCAAGACTCGGTGCCGGTCACCGACTCATTTGGAGACTTTGTGTTTCTTTTAAAAAGATTCCGAGAAACTAAGTTTCGTAGCTATTGGAAATGGAGACTTTCTCCTCCGAGATCAGGGATGCCTCATTCTCTTCTCTTCTTGTCGCCACCTTGGTGGCTATCGGAAGCATTCTTCCCGCAAGCATCCTTTTTCTGTGCCAAAGTTGAGAGGAGACGTAATGAAACAGTATATTTTTGTTAATTGGCTCTTGAGACCTCGTTGTCATGCAGCCTTTTTGGAATAAATTAATGTACACGTTTGCCAACCAAGAACTTACTGTTTATTGGTTTCTCCTGGGTGAAATTTATGTGCTCTGATTGTTAGCTCAGCAGCTCAAGGCATTTGTGCGTCTCCAGTTGTGTTTAGAAAACGATAAAACAGCCGTCTATATATCTACAGTAGATTGATTGGTGACCGAAAAATTAGTGCTGGAGGTCCAACTTTAGATGCAAATATAAAGGTAAAGCTTGGAGCCAGTCGCAGTTCCGTCGCCTATTCTCACATTTGTGCGTGATATTTTCCGGTTTATCGGAAAATTGGTCAGTTTAGGCACTCTTTTGGAAGACCGGTGAACTGCTGGATCAGCAGGCCATACATATTATTACTCCTTCATGTTGTCAGAAAGGTTGCAGATAGCTTGCGTTAAGGAGTCATTCGACACGATTGATTAAAGGGGAGAACTGTCGAAAATCTGCATCACGCACAC